CCCCAAAACCCCAAAACCCCATTGAGAAAAAATAAAAGCATTTTTTAATTTATTTAAATAATAATTTTATTTTAAATGAAGCTCAGTTCAATAATATTTTTACTTTACTCAATCATCAATATGTCTTTTCTAAGCTAAGGATAAAAATTTAAAAATTTGAAAACTCTATTCAAAGATATTAATGTTGAAGCTAAGAAGAAGATTCTCATACATGGCTATCATGGGGCAAGTCATGCTGACTTAAACACTAATTTGTCATGTTATCTTGCTGAAACTGGAGTTTATGATGTTTATATGATTGTGTTTGCCCATAGAAAGGAATATATCAACACTCTGAAAAAATGTGGTGCAAAACCAATTTTATACTATTCTCAAGAATCAAAAGAAGAAAAAAAGTATCACCTGTCATCTAATATATCTGAATGGGTATTAGGAGAGAGTTTAATAGAAAATGATTTTAATTTGCGATAAAATTGGCATTAAAATTTGAAATCACAAAAATTTGATATGGTTATATCTGACTAAGAAAATTATTTTCCAATTGTAGCTGACTATTTAGGGGTCGCTCATTACATTAGAATCTCTAGTGGACCATATGATGCTGAATTGTTAATGGATTATGGTCATCAAAAATGTCATTCAACATGCCATGTCATTTAAGAAACTAGACTTTTATCGAAAGAACGAATGCTTGATCAGTATTCTTTGACTCAGAGATATTAAAACCTGAAAGCAATGTATTAGTGGAGATACAAGCTTGACAATCTATTCAGATTAAGAGTAGAAGAAATACTTATAGAATAAGCTAATTTCAATTACTACTAAAACTAGAAAATGCCTGATCTTATTATTTCAGCAATTTAGGGAGTGTAGCCCTTAACCCCTGCAACTGGATAATTTAAGTTTCTATATCCTTCTCATAAAATTAGAAATGGAACTAGATATTCCAAGTAACCCCCTTAATAGCTGTAAAATTTTATGAATAATCATGGTAAGATTATAGTAATATCATTCGGCACATTTGCTGTGCCAGAGGAAAACAAGTTGAGATAGATAAATTAGTTTATTATTGAAAGAACTGACTATGCTTTTGTAATTAGGTATTATGGAGCGTAAGATAATAATGCATTGAGAAATCCAAGAGTAAGGGTATTTTAAGAACTTCCATAAAAATTCCTATTAAGTCATCCTAATGTTAAAGCTTTTATAACTCATGGTGGCTGGGGAAGTGTTACTGAATCAATTCAAAATCTCAAGCCTATGATAGTAATTCCGATTTAATTTGATTAGTTTTTGAACTGTAAACATGTTCATCTTAATAATCTTGGTTCTTGCATAAATGCATAAGAAATTCAAGTGGATCTGGAAATAGCTATTGAAAAAATAGAGAGAGGAGATCACGAATAATCGCTGTAAATGCTCTCCAATGTAATTATGTATGAGATGAAACATAGCGAAACAATTTTTGATGCTGTTAATGAACTTTTCTAGACTTCCTCAGGTGATAGTACTCACACACTTCCAATTTACAGAAAGATGAATACAATATAATACTTTGAATTAGACATATTTGCGTCAATCTTTCTTTTGATTGTAATCTTCTTGCTATTTATTCTGGAACTCTTAAAACGATGTTTAAAATGATTATTATTTTGATATTAATTTTCATTTTTTCTATTTTGAATCAATTTTATCACCATGGGGTTTTGGGGTTTTGGGGTTTTGGGG